AGGCCGTGTACAGCTTACACCTGAGATCAAATCCTTCCCTGAAGAGAAACTTACGAGAAGTCAGAAAAAAAAAGGAATGATTTGTGTCATCCAAGATTCCTCTTACCAACAATGGTCCAGTTTTGAGCTATATGTAAGAGCTCTTCATCCGTTTTTGTTGCATCAGTGCTGAGGACCCCATTCAAACTTCCATCATTTCTCAATCTTCTGGTGATAGCTCGGGTGTCCAGATAGGCTGCAATAACGACATTACAAAATGAAAAAAAAAAAAACAAAACAGACTCTCGCCTTACATATGCCCATGATGTTCCTCTTTTGTAAATATTCTGCCAGTGTCTGAGTAGCCCTCCAGTTTGAAACGCTAGACACAGAAGAAAGAAGAACAAAACCAAAAAGAAAAATGAGTATTTTCTAAAGGTTAGCGTACTTACCGGTCACTTAAGCTTCGAACAATTAGACCACAAAGATGGCACTTACTGGATTCCTCGTCCTCTAGAAAAACCAGACATCTTTATGTTAAAACCCAAGGTTGAGAACGGAAAAACTGACCAAAATTGACGCCAGTGTTCCCAATGTGCGGTTGAGTCATAACCACGAACTGGCCAGCATAACTCGGATCAGTGATAATCTCCTGATACCTGGGAAGGACATGCAACACTTTAAAGTGGTTGTGATCCAAAATGGAAAGAGAAATACATACCCGGTCATGGCAGTATTGAAAACAACTTCTCCGACTTGCGTTCCAGAAGCTCCAAAAGACTTGCCATTCCACACTGATCCATCCTGAAGAACAAGCCTTGTGTCTTTAGTCTTCCATGGCCGCTCAACTGTCCCACAAAAGAGCCAAGATTATAATGGATCCAAAGCAAGCAAGAAGATGAAATCACATACACAGCGCGCCAGCGACACCTTCCATCTCCGTCGCAGCTGCAGGCGCCGGCTGACAACAGAAAACCTGCAGCGATCGGCCGCATTTCCGATGCCGGTAGCCAAATCGGAGCTGCGATCCACGAAATCCATGACGCTCGCCAGCTGCGGCGCTTGATCCGCGCTTCCCAGACACAGCAGACGAGCAAGGGGAGGACAATGCATGCTGGATCGCCATCGCAAAATCTCCCCCTCGTTAGGGTTCTATAAAAACCCTCTAGCCAAGAATATCCCCAAGTGATTCCAACAAACGGACGGTCGGCGCCATCCAACGGTTGTGATTCAAACTCCGGCTGTTATACAAACGGACGGTCATGACCATCCGGCGTTCGCCATCCAACGGCTGTGCTTCAAGCTCTAGACTTGTTGCGAGTTTATCAGGCCGAGGCTGTAGAGAAAGGTCCCAAACGAGAACCTCGACTTGCTCGCGACCTCGTGCTGGGAGTTTGGGGAAGAAGGCGTCAAATCCTTCACCTGGAGAATGCTTTGCCCGATTTCCTTGCGCGTCGCCTCCACGATCCGCCTGTCCACCGGGTTCCCGGACGCGTCCGTCACGTAGAACACATTGACGGCCTTGTCACCTTGTGTGGACACGTCCGCTCTCGTCACCGAGAGTCCGTTCTCGCGAAAGATGCGAGTCACGTCGGACAGGAGGCCCACCCTGTCCTTGGTGCAAAGCTCCAGCCGGATTCCCTGGAAGAAAAATCAAAGCTATTCTTCTTCTTCTCCGAGATTTAATGAATTGTGAAAGCTTACCCCGCCGGTTCGTCTTTCTATGGCGGCTTCCAAGCACTTGACGACGTACTCCTGCTCGGCTTCCGACTTTAGCGTGCAGCCATCCATGAGGCGGATGTAGTACTCCTGGTGAAAGCGATTTCAGTTGCGTGGAGAGAAACGGAAATGTGCGTACCTGATAGGCGAAAGATCCCTCGGACCGGATAGCGGCATGGAAGACGACGTACTTCATGTCGGTTAACGTACACACCGTGTCGAAGAGTAGCTTTGGGCGGTCATTGCACCGGACGTTGACGACGGAGTATCCCTTCTCGGCGCAGTTCTGGACAGAGATGGCTGGCCTGGTCTTATCGGCGGCGGCCACGAAAGTGTTCGTCGACTCCGGCTGGATGGCAGCAAAGTCGGCGGACATGATCTGGTGGAGCCGCCTCTCGGTGTGGAGCACGGCCATCGGGATATCGGTCTTGGAGCCTTTTCCGCTCTCGTCACCTTGCAAAGCTTGGGACAGCCTCGCCTTGATTACCGCCAGTTTCTTCTCGTCTTCGATGGGGCCACCCGTGACTTCGTCCGTGACGTAGACCACGCAAGCCACTCTCAAGTTGTGCGTCCACACCTCCGCAGCCACAACGTTGCACATCATGTCCTTGAGGACTCCAGAGATGTCGGAGAGGAGGCCCGGGCGATCCCTCCCGCAAAGCTCGATGGCAGTTTGCTCTGTGTTGGACCGTAAGCTGACCCGCCGGCCGAGACAAGTTTGGACCTCGGTCGTCTGGGAATCTTGCTTTGCTCCGAGCGACTGCCATGTAAATCCGCAAGCAAGCAAGCTCTTGCAGTTAGTAAATTATGCTAGTGGCAACCACAGTACCTGGAAGTGTAGAGCTTAGTGGGTACCTGCTGGATGTAATCGATGATTCCCTCGTCTGTGAGCTTGTTTCCCAGCTGATCCGTCACATGGAAGACTGACAGAAAGAATGGTTAAAGTTCTACCTTTACTCCCGTTCTAAAGCAAATAGAAAAGCTTTGCAAGGTTCGTCCTTCTTACCATCCATAAACCAGCCACCATCGGAAGAAATGTAGGCCTTGGAAATCGCCAGGTCGAGGTCTGTGAGAACTTGGACGACCTCGAGAAGAATTCCATGCTTGTTTTTGCTATCAACCTGGTGGAAAGAAAAAAGTATTTAAGACGAGCACAGACAGACAGGTAAGGGGGTTGCCTTGATAAGCGTGGCGTCCGGACAGCTTGTGTTATCGATCACGACACTGCCAGTCACGCAAATTCGCCAGAGGGGAAAGGTTAGCTCCAAAAAGAATTCGACCGCATGCTCGAGGAGAAATTTCACCTTGGAGGATCTAATCTTAGCGAAAGAGTGTCGTATTCCGGGTCGAAATATGGACAGCCTCGTCCGGAGACGCTGGTGCTGCTGCAATCCAATCCATGGACTCTGAGAGCGAGAAATTTCGACCAAGAAAGCTCTTCCGGCTCACCTCATTTTCGGGCGCCGCGCATGGACAGCTCCAAAATCCCGGGGAGAAATCCCCGATTTCTTTGCCGCACCGCCTCAGCAAGAACGCTGCGCAGCTCCTGGGAGCTGCCCCGCGGCCCTAGACACGCCAGCGCCGCGCGGGAGATGCGAAATCCCCAACAATCCTGGAGCAGCGCCGCAACGATCCAATCCAATGCAATCCAAAATCCTCGCTGCTATCGAAAGAATCCAGCCGCCGCGCCGGAGAAACAAGAGAAAAGAAAAGCCCCGCCGCCACCGCCGCCGCTGACCCCTTCGCTACTCTCCTTCAAAAAAAAAATCCCTCGCCAAACCATTCGTGTTGGCTCCAAGTTGTCACCTGTACGGAGGCCCAAAGTGCCCGTACGGGGCACCGTGACCAATAATTGCGCGCCCAAACCGCGTGACGTGGCGTCCGAGCTGTCTCGCCACGCGGCGGTATCTTCGCCGAGTCGGACCCACGTCAGATGGAGCCCTAAAGCTTTTGTTTTTGTCATTCGCGACAGAGATACGCTGCTAGTTGCGAAAGCGAGTTCTCACTCACCCACTCCTTTTAAGAGACAACTTGTCTCTTCAAAATTTCGTCCAGTTTTCTCGATCTCGGCCTTTCTTTTTGCTGGACCGCTGTGAATCGCTACATTTGGGAAGCTCGGAATCTCCCAAATCGTTGTCTTGCATGAGTTAGAACGTGGGAATGGAATGGAGAATCCCAAAGGAATCCAAACACTCAATAGAGAAATGGTAGAAAAATCCCTGAACAAAAGTATGGAGGCAAATTGCAAGAGTGGGGCTAGGTATGTGGAGAGAAGCATCCATTCATTCAATTTGATACTTGAGAGAGAGTGTGATCAGATAAGGTGAGCTTCCACACTTCTCTTCTTTTCTCTTGTGACGTTTGGATCACAGGGATTTGTGGGGCAACATCACCATAATGTTGGTGTTGCTTGCTGCATTGCTGACACACTCCACTGTTGGGGTGATGGAGATGTCAACGGCCTTGGGGATTTCAATCTTTGCCCTCCACTTTCTGTGGGCATAAGAATTCAGTGGGAGGGACTTTCAATGATAATGCAGCTGGCAAGTATTTAAAAGCTGAAAACAACAATGTCCCACCAGAAAATTGGCATTGACTCTGAGAAGGTTCAGCCTGGTCTTCCTCCTAATTCAAGCAAATTCTGACCCCAGGCTGATGTCACTCAAGGATTACAATCTGAAATGCAGCTTCATTAATCTTTCACCAATGAAAGAGAAATCATGTTTAATGGAATTTGTGATACCAATCAATTTTGACTAAGGCAACTAGTTAGTTCCCTTAATTGGCTAAAAATTAACAACTTGCTCATACACTAGCAGCATTTCAGTTTGTACTTTTAAGAATCCATTTAAACTTAATCCAATTCCTTGAACATTAATAACTTTCTGATCATTTCAGTTTGTAACCTGAAAAGTGTTTATTAAAGTAAGCCGGGAAGAGTAAACTTAATCCAAACTTTTCCACCAAGCAAAAAATTACCTCGACAATCACGTATTGACGCTCTCGTCGTTTCCTTCCAGTATGGCGCAAGGCAGCGTCGCCATTCTGGTGCGCTTGGCAAGCGAAACGACATCGAAGGCCCTGTTGCTCTTCCTGTGCCTGTGGCCCCTGCGACCATAAAACTTGCTCCTACTAGCTGGCATCTGGAACAAGTTGTCTCGGCTCTTGAGCCACAGCTCACACTTCTCCCTGCTCTCTGGCTGCACCGATGCCTGGGACAGCGCCATTGATGGGGCGTCGCTGCGGTCGTCCACCTCAGACTTCTGGGGAGCGTCTGATGTTGGAACACCGCTGAGGAGTATCTTGTCCAAGCGGCTGAATGTGTCCCTGGCAGCCTTTGGGTTGGGCTGTTCAAAAGTTGGCAAGAGGCTTGACACTGCACCCGCCAGGACCTGCTTTATCGATCCTTGGTTGT